AAGACGGACAACTCACCAGGCCTCTAGGTAGTCGAGTTGTCTCTGGTGAGTTGTCCGTCTCCCAACCTGACTGCCCTGATAATGAATGTTTGATGGTAATGGTAAAGGTACTATTGAAAAATTGAATTTTGCTGATGAGTGTGTGGTTGACCAGTCTACACATATGCATGCAAGTGTGAATGGTAATGTTACTGATTGCAAGGAGGTTCCTTTTGGTATAAATAATAGTGTGAGAATGGATATACAGCCTGATACTTTTAATGGTGATGGTATGTCTTTGGATGATTATTTGTGTCATTTTTCATCCATTACTACCTGTAATGGATGGACTGATAAAATTGCTGGTGTTCATTTTGATGCATGTATGCGTGGGAAGGCTTTGTCCTTGTTGAATGAATTATCCCTTCCAGATAGACACAGTTTTGAGTGTTGCAGCGAGTCACTTGGAAAAGCGTTATTATCCAGAGGGTAAGGAGTCTACTTTGCTACTCTGTTTAATAACAGGAAGAAGTTGGCCACTGAGACGCCAACGGAATATGCTACTTCTCTTCGTGCATTGTCGAGGAAGGCTTATCCTTCTTTGGATGTTATTGCTCGTGAGAGTCTGATTAGGCAGCGTTTCATTTCAGGTTTTCCTGATTTCGAGATGTGTAAGACTTTGACCATCAGGCAAACTCAGAGTTTGGATGAATTAATTACTGTGGCTGATGTTTGTCATTCTATTGATGCTACGCACAGTGCACCTGGTTGTAATCGTGCTAGTAAGCCTATGGTAGCTGTTGTGAATAATTCTGAGCGTGATGAGGGTGTGTGTGAATCTGAATTTAGTAAGCTGCGGAATGATATTAAAGAGATGCTTGACAGTTTTCGTGCTATGTTTGACAAAGGTCATCAACCCCGATTTTCCCGTCGGAAGGGTGGGCGTAGGAATGAAGGTATTACTTGCTATGGTTGTGGTGCCAATGGTCACATACGTAGTAATTGTCCGGAGAACCTGTGCCAGATATGTAATGGCAGGGGTTATATAGCTTCTCAGTGTGACAGATATTATGTTCCACAGAATTCGCAGCCTTCCTAGCAAATGGCCAGTGGCCCTGTAGGAAATTTTTCTCAAGGGAATAGCTCCAATTCTGTCTGGGGTGGGAATGGCCAAACTCGTGATGGTGGTAATATTTCCCAGTTTCACCCTGCTCCCAAGAATAATGATATGCCTTTAAACAGAAATCAGTAGCACGGGGGTCCTCAGTTGCTACTAGAAAGATGACGAATGTATGCATGGACCATGATTTTGATAATTTGATTTGTTCTTTGAGATTACCCACTAGCTGATATACTATGGTTGATGTGAATGGCATTACTGTACGTTTTCTTATTGATTCTGGTAGTGCTGAAACGCTTATAGATTATGCAGTTTTTTGTTCTATTGGTGGGAAGGAGTGTGATTTTGTCTCCTTGTGATGTTTGTTTTCAAACTGCTTCTCTGAAAGCTCGTGGCATGATTGACTTGAAAATTTGTATTGATTCTGTGTGTGCTGTTCAGAGAGTGATTATTGCTGATCTTGGTGCCCCCTATGGTTTGCTTGGGATGGATTATTTTCAAGAGCATGACTGCGTTTTGCATATGTCTGTAGGTCAAATAGAGGTTGATGGTAAAACTGTTTCCCTGACTAAGCCTGTTTCGTCTGTTCCTAGTTGTAGAATTGTTGTAGATGAATGTGCGACTGTTCCCAGAGAGAGTGAGATGGTGATTGATGGTCGTTTGAATAGCCCATGGAAACCCAATAGTGACGTCATAGCTGTGGCAGAGGCTGCGTGTGTGTTTGAGAGCGAGTATGGTCATCGAGGTTTGTTTTTATTTCCCGGAGTGGTGGACGCCTCATGCTCTTTAGTGCCTCTCATGGTGGTCAATGTTAGCAAGGAAGCGGTAGAAATACCTGCGGATTTGCTTATCGGTTTACTATGCCCAAGAGAAGACCTGACTGTCTCTTCTCTGGAACAAGTGGTGCCTGGTGATGTCATGGACACCAGGGAACTACCTGAACATTTAAAGAAGCTCGTCGACGATCCAGAAGATTTAACGGTTGAACAACGTCAAAGTGTTAACCAATCAAAGTTCCACCGCGACGTATGGGATGGGCGAAGAGAGAAATCGCAGAGAAACAAGTACAGAACATGCTTGATCAAGGTGTAATAGAACCGAGTGAAAGTCCCTATAATTTGCCTATTGTTCTCGTTCCCAAGAAAGACGGAAGTTGTCGTTTTTGTATCGATTTCCGGAAAATTAATCTGGTAAACATCAAAGATGCCTACAGTTTGCCAAGAATTGATGATATTTTGGATGCGTTGGGTAAAGCAAAGTGGTTTTCATCGTTGGACTTGGCGAGTGGGTACTGGCAAGTTGAACTCGACCCAGAAGATCGGGAAAAAACAGCATTCAGCTTGCCAGGGAATAATCATTTTCAATTTCGTGTTCTCGCTTTCGGATTAGCCAATGCGCCATCTTGCTTCCAGCGTTTAATAGACAAAATTTTGGCTGGAATTCTATGGAAAATATGTCTTGCATTTTTAGATGATATTTTGTCCTATGGAGAAAACTTTGATCTGGCCATGAGCAGTTTACGTGAAGTTTTTATACGAATTCGTGCTGCTGGACTGCAATTCAAGACAGAGAAGTGTAAACTTTTTCGTCGTAAAGTGGAATATTTGGGACATGTAATATCTGAATATGGTGTGAGCTGTAGCGATGGAAAAATTGCTGCTGTTCGTGATTGGCCCAAGCCTGCTAATGTCAAAGAATTGCAGTCATTTCTTGGATTTTGTAATTATTACAGACAGTTTGTTGAAGATTTCTCCACATCTTCTTGTTCATCTGACAAAAAAGAAAGTAGAATTTGCTTGGACAAAGCAGTGTGATGTCACTTTTCTTCGCTTGAAAGAACTCTTAGTTCGTGCTCCTGTGTTATCATTTCCACAGGAAGATGGAGACGAATTCATCTTGGACACTGATTGTTCTGGTTTTGGAGCTGGTGCAGTTTTAAGTCAAATTCAGAATGGCGAGGAAAAAGTCATTGCATATGCCAGCGTTACTTACCCTTAACAAGGCACAGAAGAGATATTGTGCAACGTATCGAGAACTTTTTGCTTTGCAATGGGGGGTTAAACATTTTCGTCATTTCCTGTGGGGTCGACATTTCAAGCTACGAACTGATCATGCTTCATTACGTTGGCTTTTGAATTTTAAAGATCCTGAAGGCATTGTAGCTCGTTGAATATCAGTTCTGGACACTTACGATCTTACAGTTGAACATCGTGCTGGTTCCAAGCATGGCAATGCTGATGGTTTGAGTCGTATTCGTCGCCGATGTAAGCGTGATTCCTGCACTAGTTGTGGGAATGGTGATCAGCCGTGTGAATTGGAAACTGTCAAAGTTGCTGCTTTGCAACCGAGTCATGGTAATTCTATGGAATGGCTCGCTTCGTATTCATCGACCGATATGCGTGAGATGCAGATGAAGGACGATAACATCTCTAAAGTACCGACAATGAGGAAACGTTGGATCAACCACCTCCAGCTGCAGAACTCTTGTTTTTCTCCAAAGAAGTTCGAATCCTGTGCAGCCAGCGGAAATTATTGAAAGTCACCGATGGAGTACTTCATCGCGAGTTTTTGCCATCCGCGCCTGTAGGGAAATCCATTTACAAATTGTGTTGCCTTTAGTTTTGCGTCGCGAAAGGTACCGACAACTCCATGAGTTGCGTACTGATGGACATTTGGGTAAAGAACGAACTTATAAAAAATTGAGGGAACGATTTTATTGGCCTAGAATGCACAGTCAAGTATCCTCTTGGTGTCGTTATTGTAAAGCTTGCACTGCTACCAAAACCCCTCATGGGAAACGACGTGCTGAAATGTGTAAAATGATTTGTACTGAGCCACTTCTCAGAATTAGTCTTGATTTTGTGGGTCCTTTACCTAAAACTGAACAGGGCAATAAACATTTGTTAGTAGTCACAGACTATTTTACTAAATGGGTTGAGGCTTATCCTTTGCCTAATCAAAAGGCCAGTACAACAGCCGATGTACTTGTAACGGAATTTTTTAGTAGATTTGGTACTCCACGAATTATTCATTGTGACCAAGGGGTTAATTTTGAATCTCATTTGTTTAAGCATATGTGTTCCTTATTTGAAATTGATAAAACCCGTACGACTCCTTATCATCCTAGGTCGGATGGTGTATGTGAAAGAATGAATAAGACCTTGCAGCAAATGCTTAAAGCATTTGTGGATTCTAGTCGCACAGACTGAGATGAACACATTCCTTATCTTTTAATGGCTTATAGATCTACTGTACATGAAAGTACAGGTTTTACTCCAAATTGCTTAATGTTAGGCCGTGAAATTTCTTTGCCGACTGATTTACTTTTTGGTAAACCTCCTGATCATAATGTCCCTAAGTGTTATGATGAATTTGTTGAATGGTTTGATAATGCTACATCTGAAGCTTTGAATTTGCTAGAGAACAGTTAGGTAAATCTGCTGTTCGACAAAAACGTAATTTTAATGCAACTGTCAATCCTTTATCTTTTAATGTTGGTGATCTTGTTTGGTATTTTTATCCTCCTAAGAGTAGAAAACTTTCGACTGGTTGGATAGGTCCTTTTGAAGTGTTAGATTGTTTTTCTCATTTTGTTTATCGTATTAAGAATGTTAACACTGGTAATTGTAGAATAGCTCATGTTGATCATCTTCGTTTATATTTGGTTGAAGATTGCGATAGTGTGCCTGTTATTAATGCTGATTTCCCAGACAATATTGCTCTTTCTAATGATGATGATCAGGATGTTGTTATTCCTGTTGATGTTGAGTCAGAAGTTAATTTAGATTTGCCTGTAGGGGGGTCTGATGAAAGTCAGGTTGTTACTCGTTCTGGTAGGACAAGGCGTAGACCTGCCTACTTGGCATTGTGAATGTCATTACTGTACGTTTTCTTATTGATTCTGGTAGTGCTGCCACGCTTATAGATTATGCAGTTTTTTGTTCTATTGGTGGGAAGGAGTGTGATTTGTCTCCTTGTGATGTTTGTTTTCAAACTGCTTCTCTGAAAGCTCGTGGCATGATTGACTTGAAAATTTGTATTGATTCTGTGTGTGCTGTTCAGAGAGTGATTATTGCTGATCTTGGTGCCCCCTATGGTTTGCTTGGTATGGATTATTTTCAAGAGCATGACTGCGTTTTGCATATGTCTGTAGGTCAAATAGAGGTTGATGGTAAAACTGTTTCCCTGACTAAGCCTGTTTCGTCTGTTCCTAGTTGTAGAATTGTTGTAGATAAATGTGCGACTGTTCCCAGAGAGAGTGAGATGGTGATTGATGGTCGTTTGAATAGCCCATGGAAACCCAATAGTGACGTCATAGCTGTGGCAGAGGCTGCGTGTGTGTTTGAGAGCGAGTATGGTCATCGAGGTTTCTTTTTATTTCCCGGAGTGGTGGGCGCCCCATGCTCTTTAGTGCCTCTCATGGTGGTCAATGTTAGCAAGGAAGCGGTAGAAATACCTGCGGATTTGCTTATCGGTTTACTATGCCCAAGAGAAGACCTGACTGTCTCTTCTCTGGAACAAGTGGTGCCTGGTGATGTCATGGACACCAGGGAACTACCTGAACATTTAAAGAAGCTCGTCGACGATCCAGAAGATTTAACGGTTGAACAACGTCAAAGTGTTAACCAATCAAAGTTCCACCGCGACGTATGGGATGGGCGAAGAGAGAAATCGCAGAGAAACAAGTACAGAACATGCTTGATCAAGGTGTAATAGAACCGAGTGAAAGTCCCTATAATTTGCCTATTGTTCTCGTTCCCAAGAAAGACGGAAGTTGTCGTTTTTGTATCGATTTCCGGAAAATTAATCTGGTAAACATCAAAGATGCCTACAGTTTGCCAAGAATTGATGATATTTTGGATGCGTTGGGTAAAGCAAAGTGGTTTTCATCGTTGGACTTGGCGAGTGGGTACTGGCAAGTTGAACTCGACCCAGAAGATCGGGAAAAAACAGCATTCAGCTTGCCAGGGAATAAGCATTTTCAATTTCGTGTTCTCGCTTTCGGATTAGCCAATGCGCCATCTTGCTTCCAGCGTTTAATAGACAAAGTTTTGGCTGGAATTCTATGGAAAATATGTCTTGCATTTTTAGATGATATTTTGTCCTATGGAGAAAACTTTGATCTGGCCATGAGCAGTGAAGTTTTTATACGAATTCGTGCTGCTGGACTGCAATTCAAGCCAGAGACGTGTAAACTTTTTCGTCGTAAAGTGGAATATTTGGGACATGTAATATCTGAATATGGTGTGAGCTGTAGCGATGGAAAAATTGCTGCTGTTCGTGATTGGCCCAAGCCTGCTAATGTCAAAGAATTGCAGTCATTTCTTGGATTTTGTAATTATTACAGACAGTTTGTTGAAGATTTTTCTACTATTGCACATCTTCTTGTTCATCTGACGAAAAAGAAAGTAGAATTTGCTTGGACAAAGCAGTGTGATGTCGCTTTTCTTCGCTTGAAAGAACTCTTAGTTCGTGCTCCTGTGTTATCATTTCCACAGGAAGATGGAGACGAATTCATCTTGGACACTGATTGTTCTGGTTTTGGAGCTGGTGCAGTTTTAAGTCAAATTCAGAATGGCGAGGAAAAAGTCATTGCATATGCCAGCGTTACTTACCCTTAACAAGGCACAGAAGAGATATTGTGCAACGTATCGAGAACTTTTTGCTTTGCAATGGGGGGTTAAACATTTTCGTCATTTCCTGTGGGGTCGACATTTCAAGCTACGAACTGATCATGCTTCATTACGTTGGCTTTTGAATTTTAAAGATCCTGAAGGCATTGTAGCTCGTTGAATATCAGTTCTGGACACTTACGATCTTACAGTTGAACATCGTGCTGGTTCCAAGCATGGCAATGCTGATGGTTTGAGTCGTATTCGTCGCCGATGTAAGCGTGATTCCTGCACTAGTTGTGGGAATGGTGATCAGCCGTGTGAATTGGAAACTGTCAAAGTTGCTGCTTTGCAACCGAGTCATGGTAATTCTATGGAATGGCTCGCTTCGTATTCATCGACCGATATGCGTGAGATGCAGATGAAGGACGATAACATCTCTAAAGTACCGACAATGAGGAAACGTTGGATCAACCACCTCCAGCTGCAGAACTCTTGTTTTTCTCCAAAGAAGTTCGAATCCTGTGCAGCCAGCGGAAATTATTGAAAGTCACCGATGGAGTACTTCATCGCGAGTTTTTGCCATCCGCGCCTGTAGGGAAATCCATTTTTCAAATTGTGTTGCCTTTAGTTTTGCGTCGCGAAAGGTACCGACAACTCCATGAGTTGCGTACTGGTGGACATTTGGGTAAAGAACGAACTTATAAAAAATTGAGGGAACGATTTTATTGGCCTAGAATGCACAGTCAAGTATCCTCTTGGTGTCGTTATTGTAAAGCTTGCACTGCTACCAAAACCCCTCATGGGAAACGACGTGCTGAAATGTGTAAAATGATTTGTACTGAGCCACTTCTCAGAATTAGTCTTGATTTTGTGGGTCCTTTACCTAAAAGTGAACAGGGCAATGAACATTTGTTAGTAGTCACAGACTATTTTACTAAATGGGTTGAGGCTTATCCTTTGCCTAATCAAAAGGCCAGTACAACAGCCGATGTACTTGTAACGGAATTTTTTAGTAGATTTGGTACTCCACGAATTATTCAGTGTGACCAAGGGGTTAATTTTGAATCTCATTTGTTTAAGCATATGTGTTCCTTATTTGAAATTGATAAAACCCGTACGACTCCTTATCATCCTAGGTCGGATGGTGTATGTGAAAGAATGAATAAGACCTTGCAGCAAATGCTTAAAGCATTTGTGGATTCTAGTCGCACAGACTGAGATGAACACATTCCTTATCTTTTAATGGCTTATAGATCTACTGTACATGAAAGTACAGGTTTTACTCCAAATCGCTTAATGTTAGGCCGTGAAATTTCTTTGCCGACTGATTTACTTTTTGGTAAACCTCCTGATCATAATGTCCCTAAGTGTTATGATGAATTTGTTGAATGGTTTGATAATGCTACATCTGAAGCTTTGAATTTGCTAGAGAACAGTTGGGTAAATCTGCTGTTCGACAAAAACGTAATTTTAATGCAACTGTCAATCCTTTATCTTTTAATGTTGGTGATCTTGTTGGGTATTTTTATCCTCCTAAGAGTAGAAAACTTTCGACTGGTTGGATAGGTCTATTTGAAGTGTTAGATTGTTTTTCTCATTTTGTTTATCGTATTAAGAATGTTAACACTGGTAATTGTAGAATAGCTCATGTTGATCATCTTCGTTTATATTTGGTTGAAGATTGCGATAGTGTGCCTGTTATTAATGCTGATTTCCCAGACAATATTGCTCTTTCTAATGATGATGATCAGGATGTTGTTATTCCTGTTGATGTTGAGTCAGAAGTTAATTTAGATTTGCCTGTAGGGGGGTCTGATGAAAGTCAGGTTGTTACTCGTTCTGGTAGGACAAGGCGTAGACCTGCCTACTTGGCATTGTGAATGGCATTACTGTACGTTTTCTTATTGATTCTGGTAGTGCTGCCACGCTTATAGATTATGCAGTTTTTTGTTCTATTGGTGGGAAGGAGTGTGATTTGTCTCCTTGTGATGTTTGTTTTCAAACTGCTTCTCTGAAAGCTCGTGGCATGATTGACTTGAAAATTTGTATTGATTCTGTGTGTGCTGTTCAGAGAGTGATTATTGCTGATCTTGGTGCCCCCTATGGTTTGCTTGGTATGGATTATTTTCAATAGCATGACTGCGTTTTGCATATGTCTGTAGGTCAAATAGAGGTTGATGGTAAAACTGTTTCCCTGACTAAGCCTGTTTCGTCTGTTCCTAGTTGTAGAATTGTTGTAGATAAATGTGCGACTGTTCCCAGAGAGAGTGAGATGGTGATTGATGGTCGTTTGAATAGCCCATGGAAACCCAATAGGTACGTCATAGCTGTGGCAGTGGCTGCGTGTGTGTTTGAGAGCGAGTATGATCATCGAGGTTTGTTTTTATTTCCCGGAGTGGTGGACGCCTCATGCTCTTTAGTGCCTCTCATGGTGGTCAATGTTAGCAAGGAAGCGGTAGAAATACCTGCGGATTTGCTTATCGGTTTACTATGCCCAAGAGAAGACCTGACTGTCTCTTCTCTGGAACAAGTGGTGCCTGGTGATGTCATGGACACCAGGGAACTACCTGAACATTTAAAGAAGCTCGTCGACGATCCAGAAGATTTAACGGTTGAACAACGTCAAAGTGTTAACCAATCAAAGTTCCACCGCGACGTATGGGATGGGCGAAGAGAGAAATCGCAGAGAAACAAGTACAGAACATGCTTGATCAAGGTGTAATAGAACCGAGTGAAAGTCCCTATAATTTGCCTATTGTTCTCGTTCCCAAGAAAGACGGAAGTTGTCGTTTTTGTATCGATTTCCGGAAAATTAATCTGGTAAACATCAAAGATGCCTACAGTTTGCCAAGAATTGATGATATTTTGGATGCATTGGGTAAAGCAAAGTGGTTTTCATCGTTTGACTTGGCGAGTGGGTACTGGCAAGTTGAACTCGACCCAGAAGGTCGGGAAAAAACAGCATTCAGCTTGCCAGGGAATAATCATTTTCAATTTCGTGTTCTCGCTTTCGGATTAGCCAATGCGCCATCTTGCTTCCAGCGTTTAATAGACAAAGTTTTGGCTGGAACTCTATGGAAAATATGTCTTGCATTTTTAGATGATATTTTGTCCTATGGAGAAAACTTTGATCTGGCCATGAGCAGTTTACGTGAAGTTTTTATACGAATTCGTGCTGCTGGACTGCCCTTCAAGCCAGAGAAGTGTAAACTTTTTCGTCGTAAAGTGGAATATTTGGGACATGTAATATCTGAATATGGTGTGAGCTGTAGCGATGGAAAAATTGCTGCTGTTCGTGATTGGCCCAAGCCTGCTAATGTCAAAGAATTGCAGTCATTTCTTGGATTTTTTAATTATTACAGACAGTTTGTTGAAGATTTCTCTACTATTGCACATCTTCTTGTTCATCTGACGAAAAAGAAAGTAGAATTTGCTTGGACAAAGCAGTGTGATGTCGCTTTTCTTCGCTTGAAAGAACTCTTAGTTCGTGCTCCTGTGTTATCATTTCCACAGGAAGATGGAGACGAATTCATCTTGGACACTGATTGTTCTGGTTTTGGAGCTGGTGCAGTTTTAAGTCAAATTCAGAATGGCGAGGAAAAAGTCATTGCATATGCCAGCGTTACTTACCCTTAACAAGGCGCAGAAGAGATATTGTGCAACGTATCGAGAACTTTTTGCTTTGCAATGGGGGGTTAAACATTTTCGTCATTTCCTGTGGGGTCGACATTTCAAGCTACGAACTGATCATGCTTCATTACGTTGGCTTTTGAATTTTAAAGATCCTGAAGGCATTGTAGCTCGTTGAATATCAGTTCTGGACACTTACGATTTTACAGTTGAACATCGTGCTGGTTCCAAGCATGGCAATGCTGATGGTTTGAGTCGTATTCGTCGCCGATGTAAGCGTGATTCCTGCACTAGTTGTGGGAATGGTGATCAGCCGTGTGAATTGGAAACTGTCAAAGTTGCTGCTTTGCAACCGAGTCATGGTAATTCTATGGAATGGCTCGCTTCGTATTCATCGACCGATATGCGTGAGATGCAGATGAAGGACGATAACATCTCTAAAGTACCGACAATGAGGAAACGTTGGATCAACCACCTCCAGCTGCAGAACTCTTGTTTTTCTCCAAAGAAGTTCGAATCCTGTGCAGCCAGCGGAAATTATTGAAAGTCACCGATGGAGTACTTCATCGCGAGTTTTTGCCATCCGCGCCTGTAGGGAAATCCATTTTTCAAATTGTGTTGCCTTTAGTTTTGCGTCGCGAAAGGTACCGACAACTCCATGAGTTGCGTACTGGTGGACATTTGGGTAAAGAACGAACTTATAAAAAATTGAGGGAACGATTTTATTGGCCTAGAATGCACAGTCAAGTATCCTCTTGGTGTCGTTATTGTAAAGCTTGCACTGCTACCAAAACCCCTCATGGGAAACGACGTGCTGAAATGTGTAAAATGATTTGTACTGAGCCACTTCTCAGAATTAGTCTTGATTTTGTGGGTCCTTTACCTAAAACTGAACAGGGCAATGAACATTTGTTAGTAGTCACAGACTATTTTACTAAATGGGTTGAGGCTTATCCTTTGCCTAATCAAAAGGCCAGTACAACAGCCGATGTACTTGTAACGGAATTTTTTAGTAGATTTGGTACTCCACGAATTATTCATTGTGACCAAGGGGTTAATTTTGAATCTCATTTGTTTAAGCATATGTGTTCCGTATTTGAAATTGATAAAACCCGTACGACTCCTTATCATCCTAGGTCGGATGGTGTATGTGAAAGAATGAATAAGACCTTGCAGCAAATGCTTAAAGCATTTGTGGATTCTAGTCGCACAGACTGAGATGAACACATTCCTTATCTTTTAATGGCTTATAGGTCTACTGTACATGAAAGTACAGGTTTTACTCCAAATCGCTTAATGTTAGGCCGTGAAATTTCTTTGCCGACTGATTTACTTTTTGGTAAACCTCCTGATCATAATGTCCCTAAGTGTTATGATGAATTTGTTGAATGGTTTGATAATGCTACATCTGAAGCTTTGAATTTGCTAGAGAACAGTTAGGTAAATCTGCTGTTCGACAAAAACGTAATTTTAATGCAACTGTCAATCCTTTATCTTTTAATGTTGGTGATCTTGTTGGGTATTTTTATCCTCCTGAGATTAGAAAACTTTCGACTGGTTGGATAGGTCCTTTTGAAGTGTTAGATTGTTTTTCTCATTTTGTTTATCGTATTAAGAATGTTAACACTGGTAATTGTAGAATAGCTCATGTTGATCATCTTCGTTTATATTTGGTTGAAGATTGCGATAGTGTGCCTGTTATTAATGCTGATTTCCCAGACAATATTGCTCTTTCTAATGATGATGATCAGGATGTTGTTATTCCTGTTGATGTTGAGTCAGAAGTTAATTTAGATTTGCCTGTAGGGGGGTCTGATGAAAGTCAGGTTGTTACTCGTTCTGGTAGGACAAGGCGTAGACCTGCCTACTTGGATGATTTTCATACTTGATTTATGCTCTGTAACATTTTGTTTTGAATTACATTGGGAATTGTGCTATAATGTATATATTTAGGTAGGACTTGTTAGTGTTTTTAGATAGGGTTTATTTGATTTTGTAGTTGGGAATTTTTTGTATTTCTATTGTGTATTTTGTAAATAGTATGCTTTATATTTGTCATACTTTCAGGAATGCTTTCTACTGTTTGATATTTCGTTCCACTGTGTTTCATATTTTGCTAATACCTGCCGATGGACATACACATTGTGGGGGGGGGGGGGGTATTGTGGCGGGACTGGAGTTGTACTATTTTTTATTGTTTATTATTTTATTTATATTTCTTGTCTGGTTGTTGCATATGCATTGGTGTGTG